GTGAGTTGGAGTTCTCAAAACATGATGATCTAACCTGTTTACAACTTGTCTATGGGTTCTCAGACACATCCTGACATTGGATTCTGTTATGTTGTTTTGTATCCCAGCTGCAGAAAACTTTCCCAGCCAGCAAGCTGTAAGTGACCTGTAGTTCACTTATCGTCACTTTCCCACATCTGGACATTTACACACAAGTTACATTTTCCAACATTCCCCTCCAAATGTACAGATGTGTGTCATGTTACTTGTTTGTGTTATGCATCTTTGTTATCCCCTGATTTTGTACTTTAGCTTGATAGCTAGAATTGTGCATTTAGGGTGTCATGCCCATCAGACGTCATATCTGTTCAAGATAGGTAGGAAAGGAAAACAGACTTTAATTGGTCCAAAGACTCTCAGCTGGAATATTTTCAAAAAGAACTGGGAGTCATTTGCTGTGCAAAAACAGCTATTTTACACCATTTAACAGTAGCAGGCTGGACTTTACATTATACATTACATATAAGGCACAACTTGGCATTTCATTGGCTAAAGCTTAAGTCAACCCCTATAGGCACTAATTACTTCATCAAAGGTTGCAAAATCTTAAAAACAACAACAGAAAGCTTGACCCTTAGTTGAACTCAAAGAAAACAGGATACTTGCTACAGAATTAACGTTTAGTCATGTGTGTGATTAGTTCTTTTGGTCTAACTGCCTTGAAATAACCTGTCTAAAATTCCTCAAAAGTTTCAGCTAAAGCACGTATTCCCTTATTGAACTGTGCCTGAACTTTTCACCACAAAGCAATTTCAAGAATATAGCTAATTTAAGTTTTTCTTCTATACCTGCCTCAGTGTCACTGGGTGCTGGGGGTGAGACTTCAGGGAGTGGGACTTCCGGGGTGAAAACACACAAAGAAAAAATGGAGGACTTGACCAAATAATAGTTCAAAAAGTAAAAACAAACAAGCACTCATATAAATATTAAATTCATCCTTCTCAGCCCTGCTTAAAATGGAGGACCTTTTGGACATTTAGCCTTCTCTGTCAGGGATCTCTGGTGCCACAACAAATGAGAAATCCCAGAATCCCATAGAATAGAGCCACAACAGTTAAAGTGATGTCAAAGTGGATTATTTCTGCTGTGGGGATGGCCTTATTGCACCTAACAAAACTGCAATTCCCAGAATCCCATTGCATAGAGCCATGGCAGTTAAAGTGTTGCAAAACTGCGTTATTTCTGCAGTGCAATGGTGTGAACACTGGACTAGGAGATCAAGGTTTAAATCCCAGATCTGCCATGGAAACCCACTGGATAACCTTGGGCAAGCCACACTCTCTCAGCCTCAGGGGAAGGCAAAGGCAAAAACTCCCCTCTGAACAAATCTTGCCAAGAAAACCCCATGATAATTTTACCATGCCACTGTATTTAATGGGACTTGAGCATGTATAGACTTTGGTATCCACAGGGGATACTAGAACCAAAGCCCAGTGGATACCAAAGACTCACTATGTTGTTTATGTCCCTGACTACGGGTATTTACACAAGGGCAATTTAAATCAGTTTTATTCCACTCTGACATCACCCTGTTTTCATGATGCAGGGCCAAAGCCCTGATTCAACTATGAACTGTCTTCACAACATGAGAACAGTTCTGCTTTGAATCCAGACTTTCCCTACCTTAATCTCATTTTATTCTGGATTTTTCAGGAAATTCTGGATTCTGGAGAGATACTGTTCACACATGCTGTCATGATGACCACAGGATTCTTCTTTCCTTATGATGGTTTGCAGTTTTTCCTTTTATATTCTTTTAACCCTTGGTTTGACTACTGGCCCCAAGAATCCTTATTTATTAGGCCTTTTATTATTTTGGTAGCATGCTTATGATGCTTTTAGTTATAAATTAATTCAAGCCACTGTTCTGTAAACAAGAAGGAGTACAAACTTTATTTACAGTCAGATATCAAGTTTGTATCTTTTTATAATGGGTATATTATGTACAACTTTTCACTTCTTACAAACTGTTTCTTTTTTCAGTTCCTTACACTGATTTTGTTTCCACTTTAACCTGTGTTCTAATTCTCTTAACACAAGTCTTTATAATGCCCCCTCATCATGACTATATGAATCCTGTGAAAGTCTGGCTTAAATCACAATTACCATTCCCATAGAACAAGGCAGGTATGAGCCACCCTGAACTGCCTCTTAAAACTGTCAGCTGGCACACTCATCCCATTTCCACTTGCTCCTCTCCTTTTATAGTCACTCCTTAGGCAGCCCCCACCTTTGCAGCAGCCTGACTCTGATTGGCTGTTGGGAAACTCCATTCTGCCAGGAACTCGCTGCACATACATTCTGCTGTTCTGCTTGGTGCCACCACTGGTGGTCTGAGTCACTTCCTCTGAGATCACAATGAGCACCCAGACATGTTATTGACACTGGGCACCCCGTTTTTGACCTCAAAGACAGCAACTTGTGCCAAAGGCAGTTGCACTAGGCAGCCCTCCAAGATGGGTGTGTAGGCACTAAATTGACATGTGTTTTAACTGATGTGTTTTAACTGATGTTATTTGCTAATTGTTGTTAACCCCCACCTCAATCTATGGGGAGAGGCAGGTAAGAAATAAATATTATTATTATTATTATAGACAGATACCCAGCATTGCTACAGAATGCAAAAGTAATGGGGAGAATTTGGGACAGCTTTGGGGCTAGAATACTCCAGGAGCAGCTTAGAGTGTTCTGGCCAGTTTAAACCAAAATGGTGGTCAATGGATTGGAAATGATCAATATACATCCCCATCCACAAAAAAGGAGACATAAAAGACTGCAGAAACATAGCATTAATTTCCCAGGCAAGCAAAATTATGCTCAGAAATCTGCAACAAAGAATCCAGTCATACATGGAGAGAGAAATCCCAGAAATGCAAGTGGGATTCAGGAAAGGAAGAGACAATTTACTAGTTCAATTTACTAGCAGAAAACATCATGGACTTGGAAAAATTATTAAGGAAGGTCAAAGAAGAAAGTGCAAAGGCAGGCTTAACGCTGAACAGAAAAAAAAAAAACCAACAGAAATAATGACCAAGGAGGACCTACATATATTCAGCCTAGAAAATAAGGAAATCAAAGTAGTAAAAGGATTCCTCTACCTTGGATCAAACATTGATCAGGAAAGAGGCTGTAATCAAGATATCAGAGGAAGACTAGGAATGGGAAAGTAAAGATATACTAGTAAGGATATACAACTGAGTACTAAAGTTAGAATCATCAAAGCCATTTTATTCCTCATCACCATGTACAAATGAGAGAGCTGGATAGTGAAGAAAGCAGATAGAAAACTCCCCAACTCATTTGTGGTACTGGAGAAGAGTGTTGAGGATAGAGTGGACAGCCAAAAAGACAAATGAACAGATCAAGCCTGAAACCTCCCTGGAAGCAAAGATGACCAAATTGAGGTTGTTGTACTTTGGCCACAACATGAGAAGGCATGGATCACTAGAAAAAACAATAATACTAGAGAAGGTAGAAGGTAGTAGAAAGAGAGGAAAGCCACAAGCCAGGCCATAAGGTAGAATCTATTAGGGAGGTCACAGGTATGAATTTACAGGACCTAAGCAGAGTACTGGAGGATAGGGAGTCTTATGGCTGATGCATATGGCTTATCTGGGGCAGCTCTGGGCTGCCACTGGAAGAGGTGGATTGGGGCCACAGCAGCCACATGCTGTGGCCTTGATCCTCCCTTTTGCCGCCCTCAAAAGAGCGGCAAAATGCTACTCCTTGGGGGGGGGAAGCCGCCCTTAGAACCACTGCCTTGTCTCTTTTGCATCATTTTGGTGCAGCATGTCTGCACACTGTGACAAGAGGGTGCCCTGATGTTGCACACCATGCAGATGGGCATGTGGCATTGGGGCGGAGTTGGGGCAGCTGGCATGTGGTTGCCCCACCCAAACTCCACCCCCAGGCCAGCCTATAGTGCTGGTCTGCATTGGCCCATAGAGATAAACACCCATTGTACATCATTAATCAGCAGACCTGTGTTTGTTTTCTTTTTTTGGTAGTTTCAGTTGTTGCTACTCAGCTGATATAGAGCAACAGTCTAACAAATAGTAAGCATTTGGAATTTCAGCAGAAATGCAACCCCCCCCAAAAAAACACCCCAATTATTGAATTCCCATAGCATTTACTAATCACTAGCTCAATATGTTAAGCCAAGCAGTAATCTCCATTTTATCCATTTAGCCTATATACCCTCCAATTGTCCCAATTTGCAGTGAGAGTCTCGATTAATCTTCTGTCATCCCACATTTTCAATGACTCTTACAACATTCCACTTTCCTCTTTGTCATCAGTCTACTTCAATTGTTTGCACTCAGTGAACTCAGCAGGAGGGGAGAGGACAGGCATGGGTGCAAAATTTTGCTCTTCCCTATAGAGTCAGGCAAAAGCAAAGTGCTGCAGCCTGCCCTAGCTTGTGTGTTCTTCCTCATGAATAATATTTGCCATCTTGCTCACGCTCTGAAGTTGCTTGGCCACACATAGTTTTTATCTATGAAATGTTGTCAGGTATAAGTCTTTTATGCATGGTATAAATAATCATCCAGTAATGCACAACATTTGGATGGCATGTTTACAGCACTGCACCAAGATTATATTAGTAAGCCTTATGACAACTTGGTAAATTAGATAAGTATCCCTACTCTACAAATCTTTGCCTCATAGAATCATTGAGTTGGAAGAGACCTCAAGGGTCATCCAGTCCAACCCTCTGCCATGCAGAAATACACAACCAAAGCACTCTGAACAGATGGTCATCCAGCTTCTGTTCAAAAACCTCCAAAGAAGGAGACTCCACTGCACTCTGAAGCAGTGTATTCCACTGTCAAACAGTTCTTACTGTCAGGAAATTCTTCCTAATATTTAGATGGAAACTCTTCTCCTGTAGCTTGAAACCATTGTTCCATGACCTAGTCTCTGTAGCAGTTTGTTCCACCCTCAATATGACCAGTATGAGAGCCAGCATTGTATAGTGGTTTGAATGTTGGACTATCACTCTGGAGACTGGAGTTCAATTCTCTGCTTGGCCATGAAAGCCAGTGGATGACCTTGGGCAAGACACGTGCTGTCAGCCTCAGGGGAAGGCAATGCCAAATCTCCTCTGAACAAATCTTGC